CATGATAGTTCCTCAATCATGTCCCAAGGGTACTGTCATGATAGTTCCTAAATCGTGTCCCTGGGGTACTGTCATGATAGTTCCTAAATCATGTCCCAAGGGTACTGTCATGATAGTTCCTAAATCGTGTCCCTGGGGTACTGTCATGATAGTTCCTAAATCATGTCCCAAGGGTACTGTCATGATAGTTCCTAAATCGTGTCCCTGGGGTACTGTCATGATAGTTCCTAAATCATGTCCCAAGGGTACTGTCATGATAGTTCCTAAATCGTGTCCCTGGGGTACTGTCATGATAGTTCCTAAATCGTGTCCCTGGGGTCAGATCATGATAGTTCCTAAATCGTGTCCCTGGGGTCAGATCATGATAGTTCCTAAATCGTGTCCCTGGGGTCAGATCATGATAGTTCCTAAATCGTGTCCCTGGGGTACTGTCATGATAGTTCCTAAATCGTGTCCCTGGGGTCAGATCATGATAGTTCCTACATCATGTCCCTGGGGTCAGATCATGCTGCTCTCCTCCCTCCTCCTTGACCCTGCTCGGTTTTAATACTCTCCTTTCTCCAAGTAATATAAAGGCGTTATCTTTCACCTCAACGCTATCTGTTATCTGTCCCGATCGCTTAGATTACTGCATGAATGACTGGGTTCGAAGCAAAGCAAACGTCTCATTATATCATACAAATCGCATTATATCATGCGTGGTTGTGTTCTATATACAAGCATACGAAGCATTGCAGCATGCATGGTTGGGTTCTAGGTATAAGCATACGAAGCATTGCAGCATGCATGGTTGGGTTCTAATAACAAACATACGTAGAATTTCATCTAAACACATCAGCAAATGTTTGATTCTGGCGCTCAGCGCTTTATTGAAAAATGTCACATACTTAATCAAATTACACTCATGCATATAGTGATGGAGGTCATTCATCATTACACCTCCTCATATTGTACCAATGCATATAGCGGTGGAGTTCATTCATCAACTGGCTTCCAGGAACATTCCTCAGAGATGAGGCCATACCCCAAACTATTTAATGCAATATGGAATTGTATTCAGCCTCTGTGTTCATTTAATTAAGCCTGTACTCGATTGAACTGTCGTGTCGTACCCCATCAAACCCAAAATAGAAGCTTGTTTTACTCCAATGTTTGTAAACAAAGTAAATGTAAACAAACTCTATATAGCCTCAAAACATGGTTAAAACTATAGTGTTGATATCATGAATGGTCAGTCCTTGCATCCATAGCTCTGTCTATGAATTTGAGAGTGGTTACATTTCGCCGGGGCCCATCCCTCAGCTTTTTACCAAAACAGGAGCGGGGATTCGTCTTGTTATTGTTTCTACTAATTTCCGCTTTAATGTGTGTGTAGCTACTAATTTCTTTCAGAAACTACGGGGTAGGCTAACAACGAAGTTATAACTGATTCATAACTCATTCATAAAGTCTCCTATCTAGGCAACAACACCACTGTTGCTTGATGCAGCGCTCACCGCACTGGTTACTCACTGCGAGTTATGCGGAGACGTGTTAAAGAAAGTGCATAAAACAGGATACCCTATACTTCTTTAAATGTTATAATAATAATAATTTAAAAGTAAGCTGTTTGGTGTAGCCTAGTTTAAAAAGTTAGTAAATACATAATACAGGTTGTATAAAACATGTATTGCCCCGTTACCAATGCCTGATTTGATTTTAATGAAGCAAAAACTATAAACCTATTTAAAATTCTTACCTGTATGGTTTGACTCGGGTCTCCTGACACCGGTCCTCCGACCAGCTTGCAGTACAAGTCATGTATCGACCGCCCGTTGTCCCCCTCTCCGCAGGTCGCTGTCGCCGTCACTTTGGTTCCTTCTGCCAGGTTAAAATACGGTGGGTGCAGGCTGTAGCCATTCACCCCGTTGGTGGGCAGCTCCTGTCCCCGCGCCGAGAGGCCGCAGATTAGCGGACATAACAGCAGCAAAACAAGGTGTGTAGGGCCGCCAGCCGCCGGGGATAGAGTCCCCAACAATGGTCCCCTCGCCATCTTCACCTGCCGGTGCTCTGCTCTGCTCTGCTACGGTTCGTTAGATAAATAGGCGACTGGGCTAGAGAAAAACTGACAAACTAATAGCAATTAACTACAATAACCGAGATGATAACTTTACTGCTTTATTACAAAGTACCATCGGTGGTAAAGCGATAGAAAAGCGGTCAACGGTTAGCTCCGAATCATTGAGCCGTGGAGAACAGTCTGTGCGCTGAAGCCTGTTGCTGTGGTGGATGTCTCTCGCTCCGGCGGGCACCTATCTGCGCTGAGCTCTATTCTGTTCGCTCTCCCTACCCTCCTCTCTCTCTTTCTGCCCGTGTGGCTGAACCGGGGTATCTGTAGGGAATTATGACGTGTCAATCTGTACCAACTCAACCTGGTCTCAGAGCATTTCTCATAATTCTGCATGTAAATCCGAGACATCCATTTAGTGTGGAATGTATTAATTTGTGGATGTCCATCATCCATTTTGTATGATATGTTACTAATTACAAATCGTATTATATGTTACGATTTTGCAAAACGTACAATATGTTATGAATATGCAAAAACATATGCTATGTTACAAATTCTAGCTAGGTGGCTAACATTAGCTAGGCTAGAGTTTAAGGTTAAGATTAGGAGTTATATTAAATGATTAAGGTTAGGGGAAGGGTTAGCTAAAATGGTTAAGGTTAGGGGAAGGGTTAGCTAACATGGTTAAGGTTAGGGTTAGGGGAAGGGTTAGCTAACATGCTAAGTAGTTGAAAAGTAGCTAAAAAATAGTAAGTAGTTGAAAAGTTGCTAAAATGTGTCACACCAGCCTTCGCTTTGGCACCGCCTCCTGTCCAGCTCAGGCGTTCGGCGTTCGCCGGCCTTCTCGCTGCTGCCGAACCTGCTGCTGGCAAACGCCCTTCACTCATCAACCCCGGACTTGTCTCGTCATCATTACACACACCTGGTTCCAATCCCCACTCTATCACTGTATATATATTCCCTCTGTCATTTGTCTTTGTCGGTCATTGTATATGTTGTTTTCCTGAGAGGAATCTCTCCTGCTATTTCCTGAGGACTTTATATTTTGCACTGTGTATTTCGTCCCGCTTTAATAAATTCAGTAGTTCTAAACCTGCGACTGCCTCCTGCCTACTCCTCTCTACACTTGTGACAAAATGCTAAAAAGGTGTCCGCGATGAGATTCGACCTCGCAACCTTTGGGTTGCTAGACCTTCGCGTTATACGCCCACCCATTCACCCTCCTTTGAGGTTTTGCCTTAAGTAACCATACCAAACATAACATACTAAATGGCGCTCTCGGATTTTACGTACAGAATTATACGAAGTGCTCTGTGACCAGGATGAACCCAACTGCTTACACCCACTCTATTGCCCCTCGGGACCACTAACTACTATGCTCTCTGATTGACGTATTTCGGCATGGACCAGGGCAACTACCACTCATTCCTGGATAGTTTCTCTGGATAGGCTGATTGGCAGGCGGTTGTGCATAGAAGCAATAATGCCTTTGATCAAGATGTCAAAATGCGTCAGCTGTCAATATGGTAATTCAATTATACATCTCTCTACTGTTACAAAATAAATGAACATTTGAATCAGTTATTTTTGGGGTGCCTCCTTTTTGCTCTCATCTGTCTCGAGTTACTCAGCCTTCCCCCAACACAACATCACACGGTGCCATCAAACACACTTTTACCAGCGTCTCAGCTCCTCCGACAACTCACTGCCATGCGCCAGGATGCCCAAGATGATTCCCAAGACCAACCAACCAGTAAATGATCTGAAACACAGGGAGATTGGACCGGGAGCAATTTTTTTATATACATATATATATTTTAACAGACGCTCTTATCCAGAGCGACTTACAGTTAGTTAGTGAGTGCATACATTATTTGTTTTATTTTTCATACCCCCCGTGGGAATCGAACCCACAACCCTGGCGTTGCAAATGCCATGCTCTACCAACTGAGCTACATCCTTGCCGGCCATTCCCTCCCCCTACCCTGGACGACGCTGGGCCAATTGTGCGCCGCCCCATGGGTCTCCCGGTCGCGGCCGGCTACGACAGAGCCTGGATACGAACCCAGGATCTCTGGTGGCCTTAGACCGCCGCGCCACTCAGGGAGCTAGACTTGGGTTACGTCCCAAATGGCACCCTTTCCCCTACATAGTGCACTAGTTTTGACCAGACCCCATTGGGTAGTGCACTATGGTCGGGGAACAGGGTACAATTTGGGACGCAACCTGGGAGTGGAAGACTGCTGGACACCGTATAACCAGAACCCTATGGGCTTTTTTCAAAAGTAGTGCACTATATAGGGAATACGGTGCCATTTGGGATGCAGCGAGGGCCTGGGCGGCTGGGTCGGTGTCTCAGACAGGGGAAGGAGACTGTGTCTGAGACTGGAGCGACATTGGGCTGTGTGTGACTTGGTGTCTGGGGATGGTTTAAGCCAGTGGTTCCCAAACTTCTTAACTCATGCCCCACTTCCATCATGCTCCCGAGTGGCGCAGCGGTCTAAGGCACTGCATCTCAGTGCTTGAGGCGTCACTACAGACCCCCTGATTCGATTCCAGGCTGTATCACAATCCTGCTGTGATTGGGAGTCCCATAGGGCGGCGCACAATTGGCCCAGCGTCGTCCGGGTTTGGCCGGGGTAGGCCGTCATTGTAAATAAGAATTTGTTCTTAACTGACTTGCCTAGTTAAATAAAAAAAATATAAAAACAATTCATTGGGGAACATACCGCACTCCCCCCCCGCGCGCCACATTTTGCCATAGAGTGGAGAGAACATAGAGTTTTTTCCTGTAATATACACATTTTGCCATGTCTTATGTGTGTTCATACGATATCTGAGTGACTCAAACATTACTGAAGCTGACATGGGCTAGTTGATCTGGACATTACTGAAGCTGACATGGGCCTAGTTGATCTGGACATTACTGAAGCTGACATGGGCCAGTTGATGTGGACATTACTGAAGCTGACATGGGCCAGTTGATCTGGACATTACTGAAGCTGACATGGGCTAGTTGATCTGAACATTACTGAAGCTGACATGGGCCAGTTGATCTGGACATTACTGAAGCTGACATGGGCTAGTTGATCTGGACATTACTGAAGCTGACATGGGCCAGTTGATGTGGACATTACTGAAGCTGACATGGGCCAGTTGATCTGGGACATTATGAAGCTGACATGGGCTAGTTGATCTGGACATTACTGAAGCTGACATGGGCTAGTTGATCTGGACATAACTGACAGGACAAGAAGAAAACGGCTGATAAACTACCCAATTTCAAAATGGCACCTTGTGCATTCTACTATTACAACTCGCAAGAGTAAGTTTAAATAAAAATAAATGAAATAATCATCATCATGATAATTGGAACGGACAGTTTGGGAACCACTGGTTTAAGCCAAGGACAGACAAGTGGCACCTTCTCCCATTGGTCTTTGTTCTGTGTGTGTGTGTGTGTGTGTGTGTGTGTGTCTGTGTGTGTGTGTGTCTGTGTGTGTCTGTGTGTGTCTGTGTGTGTGTGTGTGTGTGTCTGTGTGTGTGTGTGTGTGTGTGTGTGTGTGTGTGGTGTCTGCTCAAACCCCAGGAGAGATAGAGAAAGGAGAGACTACCCTCTGTCTAATCCTCAGACTCTCCCTTTGTCTCTCGTTCTCTCTCTCTCGTTCTCTCTTTTCACTCTGTAATCTCTTCTCTCACACTGGGAGCTGTCACTTTTTCACAGGAGCTTTTTGTCCCATCTGGAAGCATAGGGCATAGGCTAGCTAGGCTGTGTGTGGTTGGGGAAGAAAGAGACAGAGAGGAATGAAGCTGACCAACAGCTATGGCCTGGAGAAACCGGCCAATGTCACTTTCATGGTGAGAGCTACATGCTACAGGTAACATGTTCTGTTGTGGGTTCTCCCCTCTCTCTCTCAAACTGAACAAAAATATAAACGCAACAATTTCAAAGATTTTACTGAGTTACAGTTTATATAAGAAAATTAGTCAATTGAAATAAATTCATTAGGCCCTAATCTATGGATTTCACATGACTGGCAATACAGATATGCATCTGTTGGTCACAGATATCTTTTAAAAAGGTAGGGGTGTGGATCAGAAAACCAGTCAGTATCTGGTGTGAGCACCATTTGCCTCATGCAGCGCAATACATCTCCTTCGCATAGAGTTGATCAGGCTGTTGATTGTGGCCTGTGGAATGTTGTCCCACTCCTCTTCAATGGCTGTGAGAAGTTGCTGGATATTGGCGGGAACTGGAACACTGTTGTACACGTCGATCCAGAGCATCCCAAACATGCTCAATGGGTGACATGTCTGGTGAGTATGCAGGCCATGGAAGAACTGGGACATTTTCAGCTTCCAGGAATGATGTACAGATCCTTGCGACATGGGGTCATGCATTATCATGCTGAAACATGAGGTGATGACGGTGGATGAATGGCATGACAATGGGCCTCAGGATCTCGTCACGGTATCTCTGTGCATTCAAATTGCCATCGATAAAATGCAATTGTGTTCGTTGTCCGTAGTTTATGCCTGCACATACCATAATCCCACTGTCACCATTGGGCACTCTGTTCACAACGCCATACACGCTGCCCTGTACAGTTGAAAGCGACGAGCACGCAGATGAGCTTCCCTGAGACTGTTTCTGACAGTTTGTGCAGAAATTCTTTAGTTGTGCAAACCCACAGTTTCATCAGCTGTCCGGGCGACAGGTCTCAGACGATCCCGCAGGTGAAGAAGCCGGATGTGGAGGTCCTGGGCTGGCGTGGTTACACGTGGTCTGCGGATGTGAGGCCGGTTGGACGTACTGCCAAATTCTCTTAAACGACGTTGGAGGTGGCTTCTGGTAGAGAAATTAACATTAATTTTCTGGCAACAGCTCTGATGGATATTCCGGCAGTCAGCATGCCAATTGCACGCTCCCTTAAAACTTGAGACATCTGTGGCATTGTGTTGTGTGACAAAACGGAAACATTTTAGAGTGGCCTTTTTTATCCCAAGCACAAGGTGCACCTGTGTAATGATCATGCTGTTTAATCAGCTTCTTGATATGCCACACCTGTCAGGTGGATGGATTATCTTGGGAAATGAGAAATGCTCACTAACAGGGATGTAAAGAAAGTTCTGCACAAAATTTGAGAGAAATAAG